ATTGTGGCTTCATAATTTGACAATAAGTTCGCCATCCTGGATGAAAGGGGCAAGAATTGTTCCGGATTATCCTATGGCTTCTCTCGACATCTGCTGTTAACCACAACCTACACTCCGTCATTTTACAAGCACACCTCCCTCGTCGTACGCTGGGAAGTCTCCAGCGGGAGAGAGGGAGAGTCATATTTGGCATGAGAAATTTTCTCGATAATTGATTTTCCTGTTCTACACGCGTTACCCATGTCGCTAGGCAGCCTTCAGACTTCGCAATAACGCGCGTCGACGCTCTACCTTTGCAACAGCGCTGTGATTCTATAGATAGCTATGCAGCCATAGACGGGTATCGATCGGGTATTTTTTGAAAAAAAAGGTATGGCAGAATAGAAGAGTACATCTTGCATGATCACACGGTCTGGTACCTTTCCATTCTTCTAGACTCCCGAAACACTACGGGCCAACGCCCATAGATGCCAGACCGCCTTAGGCTGCGTTCATAGTCTGCGGCAGCGTCCACCAGCGTCACCACTAGCGTTCCGAGAGTCCCGCAGTCAGCGACTAAGAAAGTATAGATATCGATCTGGCGTCTACTAACGTTTGCCAGCGTCCACCAGCGACCGGGAGTAGAGAGTATGGAGAAGTAGGAGGGTAGCAAACAGCTGGATTAGGCGTCGTGAAATTGCGGCGTGTGCAACCGCACCGCAAACTGCTAAAGCACAGAATTATGCAATTTAATGTACGGTGTAGTGCAGTTGTACGGTGCGTTGCACACGCTGCAATTTCACTACGCCTAATCCAGCATTTGTTACCATCCCATATTCTCTAATCCCGGTCGCTGATGGGCGCTGGCAGACGCGTAGGTGCTCGGGACGCTGGCAGATGCTAGATCGATATTTATACTTTACTGGTCACTAAGCCCGCCAAACGCTCGGAACGGTAGTGGACGCTGGTGGACGCTGCCGCAAAGCATGAACGCAGGACGCCTTCGCCCGGCGTGCCTAAACTATCCGTAGTTTCTGAATATTGTGGACGTTCACGGAAATGCGGCTAGCAGCAGGAGGTGACTAGGGAGTGTCCAGACAAGAGGGAGACGTAGTCGTATGTAGAAGAGAGGAGAGAGAGACACACCGGTCGCCAGAACCTATTTTCGCTCTCCAATATGAAAGAAGTAGGCATACCGTTGGACGAAGGATAGGTCTCATGTTCATGGTATAAATGTCTACAGTGAGCTCGCGTGAATACAAGTGGTAGAGAGCGTCAACCAGGCTTATTAGTTATGTTGAAATTGGATGCTATGTCAGAATGTGCTATTTCAGGAAGGTGCCGACGTGAAAAGTCTCTGCAGATATTTTGGGCTCTGCAAGGCATAGTCTCGTCAAGCAAGCTTCACCAGAACGTTTAGTGAATGACTGTTAAATAAAGTTAATTTGAAGCCGAGTGCCAATAACCCATACAGCTATAGAATTCTCATACACACCACGAAACCTTAGTTCGACGGTTCACTCGCAGAAGACACATGTCCAATCAAAGAGGTGTCTTCAGGTGAAGAGAATGTGTTGAATAGATGAAGAATATTTGTACATTAGGCAGCGTTCAGACTTCGCGAAGGTGGCGCTTCTGCTGGCGCTGTTCGATGCGATCCGGGTTGCAGTTTCGAAAAGCAAGAATCGATCGTCAAATCCGCGCGACATTGGAGCGCTGCGCGATCAGCGAATTTCCTGAACGCTGCCTTTAAGGCTGCGTTACTACTTTGCGACAGTGTCCACCAGCGGCCAATAGCGTCTGACGGCGTTCACCAGCGTCTACCAACGTACGCCAGCCTCGGCCAGCATCTATGTTGGTAGCGGAAGTCATAGGTATCGATTTTAGGCGTCTGCCGTAGCGATCTACCAGCGTCAGCTAGCCGACCAGCAGCAGGAGAACTGCCGAGTGAGAGTATTATTGCGCATAGGAGGGTACCAGCTGTACTCTACCCTCCTATCCGCGCTATATTCTCTACCAGCAACCTGCTACCCTCCTATCTCCCCATACTCTACCAGCTGCCGGCTACGCTCTTATCGCGTCATACTCCCCATCACCGGATGGGGCTTAGGCGCTGCATAGACCGCTGGTGCGCATGCTGGCAGACGCTAGTCATCGTCTATACTTTCCTCTGTCGCTGACGCTGCCAGACTCTTGGGAAACGCCGTCAGGAACGCTATCTCGGTCGCAGGCGGACACTGCCGCAAAGTATGAATACAGCCTCACAGCGCCTAACCTAGGTGCAACATGCCAATTCAAGCGCCATCGCTCGCCCACAAATGGCCGCACAGCCCCATTGATGCTGTTACCCATATCGCTCTATTAACGAAGTCACAATGATAGCTGAGCGGTGCTGACCGCCCCACATAGCCTCCCCCCACTCTATCCTTTGAGTGCTAGACTATCGTACCTTATGCCTATAAAGCATTTGCTGTTCCGAATAGATCACTCACACTGACAAGAACACGTAGAAAGTACGCTCCGATGCAACGGTGTGCCCTATACGCGGGTGCGCCTTGCACCCAGTGAACAGGGTATTTACTTTCGGACTGGTCACGCGTATCGAGGCCACTCCAACGCACCCGACCTGCGATCTTCGAAGTTATCGTTGAACCTTGCATAGAAAAGTCTCTAGTTTGATGACGTATGGCCGCAGTGGTCTCTACGATTTCCATTTTTCTGTCGATGCTCTCCACGGCGGCATATTTTAACTAGCAATATATCTCGGCGAGAGTTTAACGGTACGCGCAAGAGTTTAAAAGCAGCCACGTACGAGTGCTGTCACATCACATCGCAATGAACACCAGCGCTATTTTTACCGTAACCCGACCGAGCGATCAGCCTCCTCCCACATCGCGAGATAAGTTCGTCTTCAAGAATCGTACACGCTTTATTATTCTACTACTATGTACACTATGCTTATCGATTGCACAAAGCAACACTCTTACGTTGAACTTTACCGTTATTTGTATGGCCGGCGACCCGATCGATATCGATCAATACAACACTTCCGGCACCATTTTTCTAACCGCCAATGGCACTTATTACGAGGTAAATTGTTCAAGTTTGATGTGTTTCTCTACTTTTTTTTACTATTTTTCTCTTCTTTCGAAACAAAGTGCGAAATCTAGCGATTTCCTTTCTTGAACGGTTGAAAATAGCTCGTAATGTGCTTTTGACTGCGCTGAAACCAGGGCACATCATTGGTTGGGGATTTTAGTCGAGTCTGTACGACCACCCCCTTTTTTTGAGAGTTGGGTTGGTACCGACCCCCCCCCTTTCCTCCTCTACCAATTTTCAGCTTCAGATTTTCCTCACTGCCTTTTTTTTTTGCGGAAATTTCTCGAAAACCTTCTTTACTATCAACAAAAAATTTGTGCTGTCGAGCGGTAGGGTCAGTACGCACACGTCCTACAACGCCAAAACGTAAATACGACCCCCCTCCCAAAATGACCAAGTACAACCCCTCCCCTTTACAACGTCCATGAAGCGAGAAAAATCAACTATCAAAATAAATTTTTTCCCAACCCAAATACGACCCCCCCTCTCTCCCTGGCAGGCCAATACAATCCCCGCCCTCCCTATGGGAACCCAACAAGCGATGTGCCCTGGCTGAAACTCAGCAGCGACCTGATAACGTTTGTTGCTGCTCTTGAGATGAATGCAGACTCCAGTGCTCATCGAGCTCCGTGTTCCTTGTCCAAGCAATTTAAGTTACTCGTTATGGAAATAAAAGCTCGAGGTCACTCTGTGCTACCATAAGCTGTGGCATCACAAGGGAGGCGAAAGCCATGTGACCTTTGCACCACACGCACAATAGAAGCAATTCCGATCGAGACGGCGTCATACGTTTTCTGAACACCTCATCGCTAAATGGCGAAGCTCGTATTTTGGTCAGGGAGGTGAGAGGTAGCGGCTGCTTTATTATGCGGTTATGACTTTCTGGGTTTTTTTTCTGATTCAAGTGTGCTTCATATCCAGCGCAATCAAGCGCCAAAGTGTTGAGGAGAGTAGGGGGAAATCATCCGCGAAAAAAAAAGTGTAGGAATGTTGGGAAAGTTCAGGAAGATAGCCGTAGGATAGGCACAATGCTGAAGTGTAGTGGCTCGTGGCTTGCGCAGCCCAGATAGGAGCCTTTGAGGATGCGAGGGGGTTGTGCTTTCAAAGTTACTCAATTTCTGAGCCATCGAAGCAGACTCGGTTATTGGCAGAACCGGAGACATCAAGTCAAACCTGTTCAAAATTTGACTTTGAATATCGCCTCAGAAATACACCTATAGCTGGTTGAAGCGGCAATATTAAGAAGCGACGACCTATTTCATGAGTCTTAGTTGATCGACCACATTAGAGTCTGGTTTCTTTTTTTAAGCATTTTCACCAGTACTTTGCATATGTTGAGGGATGATAGGATGACATGCTCGCTGTCCCGATAGAGTTGATAACGCAACTAATTCAGTTCCAGCAGCTCCAAGAATGGATGGCATGAGCGTATGGTCCCATCACTGTTATTTTCTTTGTGATTTGATCAGGTAACCAATTACTGATAGAGGCATGGCAACCGGCAGGCGGGCTTTGCTGCGCTCCTCAGCCTGCTCGACCGCTCCCAGCCTGATCAACTATTAGCAAGGTTTATCAGCTATAGATTATCAACTATAGAAATCCTGGATACGACAAAGCGGCCCATAGCATGAAAAGGGCCCCATTCGGAGCGAGCGCATAATTCTTTTCACTTATCATGTGTTATTGCGTGAAATAGAGCTGAACCAGCTGATCAGTTCTGCAGAGGTCGATCAACAATAGCTGAAATCGTGGCGTAGTTCATAAATCAAATCAGAGTTATTCAATTGATCATTTGCTTGGCTCTGCTGTGGCAATAGCTTGCTCAGATGAAAGAGGAGGGGTTGTCGACCTGTTCAATATTTTTTGAAGGGGGTGGGGAGAGGGGAGGGAATTTTGCACTTCTATTAGTTCCTTTTGCTAAATCATGTTAATGACGAGTGTCCCTTTGATGTGACCCGTAAACTGCAAAGTAGCGCTAGTGATCCTTTTTGGTCACAGGGATTCACAGATCTTCACAAGATGGTCTTAACAAGCATCAGCGAATACCATTTGGTGCCTCATCAAGCCAAACTGCATCATGCTTGTTTCCCATTCCGTTCTATGACAGCCTCGAGACCAGGAATAGGCGAGTGGAAGTGAACTGTAGCCAGAGGGCTGCTATGGAAGCGGCACATCCTCAGTGGGCGAAACTGTACCGAGGTGGGTGTGGCCCCTGTCAAAAATAGTTTTTCTGTTCCATAACAGCCTAGGATAACCTGAAGACTCTTGATAATAAGTTATTCATTGCAGAAGGTGCCAGAGGCAATATTTACGAGTTGAAATCTCTTATCAGTCACCTGCCGCCTCGAGACTGGTTTGTACTATGTCTACCTTTATACTGACCATAATATGGGGTTATTTAATGAACCTGCCGGAAGTTCTCTTTTTGTTCCGTCTATGACCTTGACAGAATGATCTGAAGATCGGCGACCGATGGTCTATCATGGTGATAATTGAACGACCATATCAATCACGGTGCGCAGACAACTTGGCGCACCTTGGTGGTTTGGTCACACCTGTCTTCACGACGGCTACCGTACCCTTGCGGAGGCAGTAGCAATCACCACTGTCAACACCATTACAGTAGGAAAATATGTGTTATTACAGACTGGTAGTTCGTCGTATTTACTGGAATATGATGAAGCAGTATTTGCTAGACGGCACTATGCCTACTCGTCTAATGAAAAGAACATGCTGTTCTCGTTTGTGGCCATCGGTGCCATGGTGGCCGTCTATCCGGTCATGTGGCTGATTCAGGTATGATTAAGTCATCATAATTATAGCACTTGTTCGGCTTGGGAGGGCCTTTTGCACTTCCGCTGGTTCCTTTAGTTAGTTCCTGTTAAATTACACGCCACATCTTGGTGAGACTTGTGCACTCTTGTCAAGTCTGAACGAACTGCATCCTCCCGCTGTTTATTAACAGGAATTCACAGGACTCTACAAGAGGCAGTGGGAGAGATCAATGGGAATCAACACACCTACCAAGCTGAAGTGGGCCTAATATATCTCTTTAAAATCTGATTATTCGTCAGGTGCTACAGTCTACCCTTGCGCTAGTATTCTATGGAAAAACGGCAGTTAGTTCTTGTTACTGAGGCAAGTGTGGACCCTGGTTTCGATTTTATCGGGCCTCGAGCGTTACCCCCATAGAGCTAATTTCCAAGACTTACAACGCACAATCACGAGTGGGCGGAGGGGGGCAACTTATAAATCGCAGGATTCTCTTACCAATTCCCGTAAACTGCATGTCTCTCTCTGGTGGGACCTTTAAGCTCTTGTCAACCGTAAATGAAGCTCCTGCCATTGATCATCTTTACAAGAATACACAGGCTTCCATAGGAAACATCAGCAAGGGTCGATGCCTCCTGAGGGGTGGGAGCGAGCAAAATATACCCCTCTCCCGAGGAACTGCACCCAGAATTTTGCTCATTCATTTGAAATCGTGCGGAACTGTGTAGGTATGCTGGAATGATTTTCTTTTTCTTTTTCTTTTCAGCTTAGCGTGTTAGGTCCGGAGACTTTCGGGGTGTGCCAGCCCGTCATTTAGCGGGCGTCGACTTATTATCTTCACCCTCATTCAGGGCACAGCATTCGATGGGGATTTTGGTCGAGCTTTTACGACCCCCCCCCCTTTTTTTCAGGGGCTGGTACGACCCCCCCCCCATGCTCGTACGATGGCTGACATGGGCTGACTGTGGTTGTGGTTTATACTCGGCGAAAAAGTTGTCGAGCGGGGGTATGTAGTAGGCATGCGACGTACATCGTACGGGCGTACATAGTACCTATAACACAGAAAATTCATAAAACTCATGAAGTGAACCACGTAACTCCTAGCCAGAAATACGACCCCCCTCCCAACAACGACCAAATACGACCCCCCTCCAAAACGTCCGCAAAGCGAGAAAAATCAACTATAAAAATAAATTTTTCCCACCCCCCCCCCCTTTTTGGCGGCCAAATACGACCCCCCCCATAGGAATCCCCAGTCGAGACGCTGTGCCTGTTCCATTCCAATTCACTTGCATACAGTTCTTCAGGGGCAAATTGTCAAGGTGTAGGTACGGCCAATAACTCACAACGGGGTCACATTTGGGTTTTTTACTGGTTGTTGCTTCCCCTACTTTGTCAGAGCTACTGTTTTGTTTGTTGATCGGAGATGTCTACAAGCCTCCCCGCAAAATTTCGAGAAAATGGGTAAAATGGAGGTAAAGTCGTAAAAACTTTGTCGGAGGAAATTCGGAAGAAGGGTCATACTTTGCGAAATTTCTCCCGACGGCAGGAAGTGTACTGATAGCTATACTTCTCCTTCCGGAACAATGAGAATGCGGTGGGTGGGGGTGCAGTTCCACGTTACGATCCGTGAACATTTAGCTATTTGGTTTTTCCATTTGCTGTTCAGTATACAGGTTAATCGATCGGGAACTCTCCGTATGTAAATTAGCCTCGTGATAACTGCGCTAAATGTATGCTAAACCCAGCTCTGCATTTTTGAAGCTGAGTCATAGGTTTTATGTGTGTGGCAACCATGTGATTCTGGTTCGTGACGGAGAAAACAGGAACTAGCGGCGTAGCGGATCCGGATTCGGATTTGGAGTTAGCAGTCAGAAATAGGTCTCTACTGGAAAGCGTTAGTCACAATCCAGTGCTGAACCTCATACCGAGATGTACGGTAGGAAGGACAAGTCGTGCTTGGGATTCCGAGGGGGGGGGGAGAGCTTCATATTTGGCCACTCAAGAGGGGACAGGGCTTATTTGGTCTCCAGATAAGTCCTTTTTGATTGCTTTCTTACTTTTCCCGGCTTGCAGGCCTTGAGCTTCAACGTGTGGTGCGATCAGGCATATCGTTTTTGAAGAGTTTCTCGACCGCATTGTGTATTTGGTCGCAGGAGGGGGGGGGGAGGAGGAGGGTTTTAATTGGGCTGAGAACACTTTCGTTGATAGTTGATTTTTCTTGTTTCAGGGACTCTGTAAAGGGGGACGTAATTCTCGGCGGTTTTCCCTTTCACATGCTCACCCCCCCCCCTCCCTCGACCGCTGGATGAGGAGGGAACCAGGGGTGTCAACCTCCTAAAAGGTGGGGTGGGGTACGCATTCGACCGAAGTCACCAACCGAAGATGTGCCCTGGATGCGACAACTTTGCTATTTTTGGTGATAAATCGCTGAAGCCCTCCCCCTACTTTACTGACTTTTGGGAGAGGTCGTGTTTGGTAAAACGCTCCTTAACATAAGGAGGTGCCCTGGCAATAAAGTGCTACTCCTCGGGAGGCTGTCCTGCCATCAAGATGAGAGGGCGCAATGAAAGGATAATATTATATGTTCGATTAGGGCACGGAGACGTCGAGAAATGCCGAGCGGGTGTCGCGCTTGATCCTTTTTCATAGCTGCCGGTACCGCAGAACCCGAGCTTACTATTTTTCAGGCAGATGAGTCAGTCGTTCAATGGATTCGTTGTCCCTCCCTCGCTCGACGGGTAGAACCACAGCAGAAGATTTGGGGGGTTAGCAAAAATTTCTCCAGCAGCGGAAAGATACTTGTGTTCGATAAGTCATGTTAAAACATGCCACACTATCGTGATGAGAGAACGCAGATGAGCAGACATGACGTTTCCGGAGGACCGTTTGAGAGTGAACCCTAGCAGGAAGCGCAGTGGAATGACTTTTTCAAAATCAGTTTTCAAATCAGAATATACTTAACCTGTGTAGTAAAGTGAAATCAATCAATAACAGCTGATATGTTTCAGAAGTTTGGCACTCGATCCATTGTGACGATATTCGGTTTTTTCTCTGCACTCTGCACTGCTCTTATCCCACTGTGTGCATATCTCGGTTTCTACTGGATGGTTGTGATGCGATTTCTACAGGTGGATTCATGATTCGCTTAAATAATCTCTAATTATCATCTCCGTCATTGATTTTCAGGGAACTGGCCTTTCGACCGGATTCACTCTAATTGGTATTGTTACTCGACAATGGTCAATGCAAAAGCAGAGCGCTTTCTTCATCGCATTTCTCACATGCTTTTTCCAGGTGAGAAGCTGGACTGTCAAAGGAGGTAGTGCACAGCAGTCTCGGATCCCATAGCCTTAT